AAGATCCCTAAATAAATCACACAAAGTTTGAAACTAAAAATTTCTAGCATGTGATACATCCAAATGATCTGTACCAAATCGGTCATTCGTCTTTATATATAGATCTAAAAATAATAAAATTTTATAGAGAGCTAGTATACACATAGATGAACAACTTTTATCATTTGCGTTTTATCCAAAAATAATTCTAAGATCCCTAAATAAATCATATAAAGTACGAAACTAAAAATTTTCAGCATGTGGTACATCCAAATAATCTGTACCAAATCGGCCATAACTCTTTATATATAGATCTAAAAATCATGAAACGTTACAGAGAGTTAGTAGACACATAGATGAAAAATGTTTGTTCTTTGAGTTGTACTTAGAAATCATTATAAGATCCCTAAATAAATCATGTAAATTTCAGAATTTTCCATCGCTAAAATTAGAAAAATTCTCTTTTAAAATTTTTAAAACACATTCCTCATCACAAATAGTTATCACCAAACCAACCCATCACATATGTATAACCACCCATCACATATGTATAACCATCCATCATCATACATATACATGGCATACTTACACATTTTAAACTAAAGTTTACCATAAAATACACATCCAACATTCAAAATAAATCCATCATCAAAACATCATAAATCCATCACCAAACATCAAATTTTTAACATCAACATAAACTAGCATAACCACATATTACATGGCTTAAAAAAACTTATAAAATAAACATGAAAATTTAAATATTTAAGGCATAAATAAAGCTAAATGAAACCTACTTATAATGATGTGTGTTTGGTTAAGATTTCTTAGTCGTTTTCTTCTCTTTCTCCTTCCTTTCTTTCCTTTCCTTTTCTCCTTTTTTCCTTCCCTTTCTTTTTCTCCTTTCTTTCCCTCAAACTCATGTTTTTCTCTCCTCTTTTTGAAGGACATGAATTTTTGGCTAAAAAGAATTGCAAGGTTTCATCTTTTCATCCAATTTTGATACTACACTTTTCCTTTTTATTTCTTTTATGTTTAATATGCCAAGTGTCCAACTTTTGTGGTAAGAGAGGTCAATTGATGGAAATAAAACGAGGGGCAAGTTGGAGTGTTTAACCTTTCAAAATTAAGTAAGAAAGTACAAATGGAAGTATGATGGAAGATTTTATGTCACGAAACTAAAAGGTAACTAAACTAACCAACTTTCTAACCTTATTTGGTTCATAAAATTCAACCATAACTCTTAAGTGGGATATATTTTTCACTTGCATGGTCATTTTAAATATACATTATGGAAAAATAAATAACGAGTTAATTAAATTCCAAAAAAAGTATTCCTATGAACAATTTCATAAACCTTAAATATTTTCACACCATAAATATATATAAAAAAATGACACTTAATTTATGCTCACATAATCATGGATATTTTAAGAGATATTTGGGCTCGAGAATTAAATTTCGGTATGTCGATATTAAATTTTTTCTTTCTTTTTTTACCCAAGCATCTTAAACTCATTAAACACAAACATGACACCAAAATCATAATTACAACATAGTAGATGTAGATAAAATTATTTCCGTATGCATAGCTATGTTAAGCAAGTTCACATGAGTTACACGCCTAATACATAATTATCCTTGCCACATGTTTGGTGCATGCTAGCCTTAAGCCCGGTGCTCACCTAGCACATGCATGCCATGTCTTGTGCCTAGCGCACGACTATCCCGGCGTGCACGAGGCATGCTTAGCTTGTCGTATACCCAACATGTGATTGGCTTGGCCGAAGTGCATGTGAGGCTCGTCACATGCCCGAGTATGCAACTACCTAGTTAGCAACGCTTAGTGTGAGCAAGGCATGTTTAGCCTATCATGTGCTTAGCATGCATGAACGCAAATTTCCAACATTGGCCTTACATGGTCCACTATTTTTTTAGCCCAAAATCAGTTTTAAATATTTATAAAATATCAAAAACATCATATTTATAATTAGAAATTGATAATTGATGCGGTTAATCATAATTAACGAAGCATACAATTAAAGATTTAACGGAGGCTCAAATACCAATTGAAGGATCATGTATTTTATGGAGTTGCAGATTAAAAAAAAATTCTTCATCTAAAGCTCCTAAGATCAAGTCATTAATTAAATAATCATACATACATGAATTAAATATGTGACTAAAATATTTACCTCTTGTAGCACGATTTAGCCTTTATAGAAAGGAGTCATCTATGTGTTCGACCTCTATTGATAATCATTACAACTTAAACACCCATAAAGGAAGCTACAAAAATCATAAAGTGATAGCTCCAATCCTTCTATATAGTTTATTTTCTTTCCAAAGAAATTAGTTAGAGTTTTTATGGTAACTTAGGCACTTAAGGAGGGATATGACAAATCGGGCTTTTGAAAATAGAAACACTTGCTCTTTCTTTTTCCTTTCTTTTACTATATGTGTGTCTCTATCGTGCCCTCCTTTGTTGCCTCTCTCTCTTTATTTATATGAAGGGGTGACATTCTTGTCCTTCGAGGACGAGGAAAGGACGAGGAGTTATAACATGTGTATGCTTATTTGATCCTAGCCTTATAAACCTTGAGCCTTATTCAATAGGGCTCAAGTTTATCCTCCCATCAAAATATCATGTAAGCTTTTAAATTAAACCTATTGGCTCAAACTCTTTTGGCCTAATTAATTTGGACCATCCAAATAAATTGGGTCAAGTATTTTAGTAAAGCCCACATTAGGAAATAATTTTCAAATTATCCTTAAACCTAAATTAGAAAACTACTTTTTCTTTTACGTAACCGACTTTAAATTTGAAATCGACTTCCAAATTAGAAAACTAATTTCTAAAATAGAAAAATTTCCATTGTAAATTTTTTTCCAAAATAGAAAACTTTTTATTTTCGAAAACCTTTTCCAAAATATAAAACTTTTAAAACTAGAAACCTTTTTAACAATCTTTACTTCTCTTTTATTATATAAATGGTTAAACTTATACATATGACTCAATAGGTTTCTAGATATATCGACAATGTATCAAGAATAAAAGACACTTATTTTATCTCTTGATAAATAAATCAAGATTAGCCTTTAGCAAGGCATCATGACTATCGAATTCTTTAAGAGGATTAATTAATCCATAATTACCTTTCACGAGCATTGTTACCGGACAATTTAATGCTTATGTCAATTTATCATAGTGTGATTTTGAACTTGGTTTATAGTCTATACGATTATGATCACGTAAGTTTTCTTTGATTTTCAAATGTCTTAGCTCTAAAATAAACTAACTATACTCTATTGGTATGCTCTTATTATGACCATAGATTCTTTGAGCGAGACATTCATCAAAGTGTAATGTGATAACTCCTTTAGCATACAAAGAATGACATGTCCTATCTTAGTTATCCAACTATCTCCATTAGATTCTTAGTGTACCCAATGAATTATCCATATATAGCTCTTGGTCGAGCTTATTGAAATGAGTGTTAAAGTACATAAATCCTTTAATAAGATAATTGTGATGACTTCAAGTCAAATGACCTATTGTATCTATCTCTTATGAGATTCTCATAGACTAAATCAAATAAGTTCTTATAGTGAGTCATGTCTAGTGATATGTTCACTAACATTAATCACCTAAGTGTTTACTTTGGCATCTCCATGCCAATAGGTGTGAGATATCCTACTTGTTATCTTATAATATGAGCATAACACTCATAAGTCTTACTGCATATAGTCAATCTTCATTATTGATAATGTTATAACTTGAGATATTTAATGATATCATTTAAGTGCATTAATATTTATCTCACATCTATTGATCAATTATTAATGGAGTGCATTTCATATAGAATTCTATCTAATTCTATCAAAATATAAATTATAAGAATTAATAAAATAACTTTTTCATTAATTAAATAAAGAATGTAATATTATAATAAATCAAATCATCCAAACAAGATTAGATCTTAAGCACCTACACTAAAAGACTGGTGAGGTGGTCTCGGTGTTGTAAAGCTCTTGGTTATAATAGGTCTCAACTAAAAGTGTCTTAGCTAAAAATGGGTTATGAATAAAAGTGGGTCTCAACTTGTATGGAGGAGTAGAAACTGGTATGATGAAGCTCACTAGTAGTGAGGAAGAGGAAGTAGAGGCTGACCACGACTAAAAACGATGGTAGTTGATATGGCTAAAAGAAGAATGAGAATAGCTCTATATTTGGCTACTTATGGAGGTTGACTAATTTGACTAAAAGGAAGAAGGATGGTTCAACTAAAAAAAAAAGATGAGAAGAGCTTTGCATTTGGCTATAATGAGAGGAGCTTTGCATTTGGCTACAATTGAGAGGGATTGATTCGGCTAAAGGTTGATGGTTGGTTCTATTAAAAAGAGGAGGAGATGAGCTTTGTATTTATCTATAATAGAGGGGACTGATTCGACTAAAAGAGGAGGGTCTGGTGGTAGCTTAGTTTTAGGTAATAAAGTGAATTAGTGTTTAGGTGTGTGGAAATGATGATGGCTTGGATAGTGGAGAAATGGTGGTGTTTAGGAGGTAGAGCATAAAGGATTTTGCGTGAAGGATGATGTGAACCCCAAGTATACGGACAAGAGAGCCAAACACCTTTTTCGCTAAACAACCCTAATAACGTTCCCAATCGGGTTATAGTAAACGAAACCCGACCCGTTCCCTATAAAAAGGAAAGAACCGAAGCTATGTTGCAATGGAGTGAAGAATGCCACACTCTAAAGTGCGCCCCGAGAGAGAGAAAGAAGAGAGAGATACTCTCATTCTATGGAGATTTTTCCCTCCAGCTACGGTCGGCGCCCCACCGGTTCTTCTACCACGATCGCTCCGGCCTCCCTCCTTGTCGGCCCTCTCTTCTTCGTTATTTTTGCTTCGCCCACCTCCCTTCCTCTTCTCCTCTCTCCTCATGTTCCCCCATTTTCTTTAATTTTTCTATCTCTCCGCTTCACCCCCTCTTCCTCTTCTACCCTTCATCCCGGCTTTTATGACTAAGAAAAAGAGGAAAATTAACTCCCACCTAAAGGAAAGAAGACTTCCGGTAGCTCCGAGTGATAGCTCTATCGACGTCTTTGGACTCTTTTCCTTTTGGTTCTATTTTTATCGCAACCATTGTTCATCATTCCGGATCCGTCAAATCGACCATGATGGGTTCAACTCTGTTGTTGCTCCTCTTTCACTCGATAATATAGAGGTTGAATCATGTTCTAGTGAAGAGGAATTGGAATTTCAAGAAGAAACTCTAGCAGATTCAAATATGGGTGAAATTTTGAATTCTCGCCTAAAAAATTCAAATTTTCAATCTCCCGCCCAAACGGTTGCCAAGGCCGGCAATACCTCCGACCCCGCCTGGACCCTTTCCCAACACAATAGAGGCTCCATTCTAGCCCGCCAACCGAGTAATAGGACGGAACTTGATGGCCCTCTCTTGCTTAAATCGGTTGCCCTCTCTTCCATTGGCCAACCTAGCTCTAAACGACCTATCGAACCGGGTGTTTCTTCAAAACCCCACCGCCGAATAGAGAGATTTGTTTGCCACTAATCATAGTCCAACTTTGTGCCCTAAGCTCACACACTTCACTGCTATTACTGAAAGTAAAACATGTGTATTGCTTGATGATGATCCACGGTGTGAATTATAGAAATGTTGCTTGATTGGATATATTGTGGGTAAATCATCGAGTTTTTAGGCACTTAATGGCATTATTGCTAGTACTTGAAAATGTCGAGCCACTCTCTCCATTCATGATTTGGGTTGGCTTGTATATAAATTTTCCTCGGAGGAAGCTTAATCTTCGATGTTAAATGGGGGTCCTTAGTTGATTTTAGGTCGATCGTTGTTGTTGCGACCCATGCCAAAGTTCTTCGATTTTTCAACAAAGGATATGTCGCTGGTTCCAATTTGGGTGAAGCTTCCGAACCTTCTCCTTAAGTGCTGGTCTCTATTATGTCTTTTGAAATTAGCAAGCCTACTTGGTAAGCCAATTCGGTGTGATAGGCTCACCGCCTCAATGGAAAGGATCACGTATGCTCGAGTTTTGATTGAGCTCAACATAATGGAGGAGTTGCTCGAGGGTCATCAAAATTAGTCTCCCAAATGGCTCCACCTTTCTTCAACTCGTTGTGTATGAAACCTTTCTTACCCATTGTAAAAAATGTCGAGTTTTGGGCCACTCCACAACCTCTTATGAGAAGCAACCGATTGCGGGCGATCCGGACAAAAGCAAGGCTATGAATGGAGTTATGATCGCCGGCCAAGCCGAGCTTAATGTTGTCGACCGCATGGGATCTATTGTTGTTGATGTACAAATGCACATTCCATCGGTGAGCCCTCGGATAGACCCCATAGTTTCAAAGGTCGCGACTGCGTCGAGTGAATGGCGACCGTTTCTCACAAAGCCAAAGCCAAATCCAAGTTAGCTCTCCCGCCTTAGACTAGGCTACTGGAGTCTACTCGATCCGCGCCGCAACCTCAAGTACAACCTTGAAAGGAGGCTCGAGTGGTCACGGAGTCACCATTAGCTACTTAGACTCACAAAGGTAAGGTTATAATGGCAGGCCCTAGTACTAAACATATGGAACTCGACGATGAGACACGGTCGAGCCGGGTTGCCCGATACGATCGGGGTTTAGGGGCGGTGAGACTCGAGAGTCATCGGGATATATATGTTGTGAGGCCTAACGGTGTTGTCCTTGGAGACGATACGATGGCCGAGGAGGTTATAGCGGCGCCTGCTATACTAGCAACCCCTCTTGCCGATTGCCTCAATGAGCCCTCGCATGAATTATCCGATCGGAGAAGAAGGCTGCAAGGTTAAATGAAGTGCTAAGGGAGTGATCACCTCCTCGACTGCCATATGATAATTCTTAGCTTGGAATGTGAGGGGCCTCGATAATCCCCTCAAACAACATAAGGTTGTTGGCCTCGTACGACGAGAAAAGTATAGATGTTTGCACCTTGGTTGAGACCAAGCTAAGTCTCATCAAGCTTTCTCAAATGTACCATTTTCGATTTAAGAAGTGGCGGATTGTCTCTAATGCTACGAGCGACACAAAAGCCCGAATTGTCCTATTTTGGAATCCTAATACGAGTTTGGAAGACTTTTACGTTACGATGAAGAATTTCTTTATCTCGGGTTAGCTACTTAAGCAAGTTAACCATTCGGTGATTGCTCTAATCCCCAAATCAACTCATGCATCTTCTCTTGTGGATTATCACCCGATATCTTGCTTGTAATGTGGTGTACAAAGTTATTGCAAAGATCCTCTCTTCCAGAGTTAGCCGATCCTTTGGTTAATATTATTAGCCCCATGTAAAATGCTTTCTTAGGTGGGACGAAGATGTCGGACAATATCCATCTTCTACGGGAGCCGCTTAGGCAATACGATAGGAAGCATGCCTCTCCATGCTGCCTCCTCGAGGTGGACTTCAAGAAAGCATTTGACTCGATACGGTGGTGATTTCTTTGAGATCTACTTCAGCATCTTGGTTTCTCCAGGTGCTTTTGTTCATTTGGTTATGACCTATGTGGAGACTCCCTCTTATTCTGTTTTGATCAATGGTAGTCTCTTCGGCTTCTTTCAAGGCTAAAGTGGGATTCGATAAGGAGACCTTCTCTCTCTTTACCTCTTTATAGTGTGTATGGAATACTTCTTTCGTATGCTTCAACTCTCTACCGTTATGGCTAAGTTTCATTTCCATCCACGAGTGTGGGCCTCTTAGAATCGGTCACCTTGTGTTTGCGGATGATATCATACTCCTCTATCGCGGGGATAGAGCCTTCGTGTAGTGCTTATCTTCACAATTGCGTAAGTTTAGTCGCACTTTCGGCCTTACCATCAATGTGTCCAAATCTTCTATTTATTTTGAAGGAATCGAGTGATGACCTTAAGTAGACTCTCCTCCGGGATATAAGGTTTGAAGAAGGTACCTTTCCCTTCGGATATTTTGGAGTCCCACTAAGTCCCGATCGTTTTCTTGCCGGCCAATTCTCCTCGCTCGTTATAGAGCTTGGAGTCGATAATGCGAGCCCGGTTGGGAAAGCATCTTTCGTATGTAGGCCGCCTCGAGCTTTTGCGTTCGGTTCTCGCGGGCATTATTCGATTCCGGTTAGCTATCTTTCCTTTTTCGTCTATAGTCATCTCCAAAATCATCAACCTTTGTTGAAATTTCCTTTGGAAAAGGGATATTGGATATTCAAAAAAGTCATTCAAGCATCGATTTCTTAGAAGGTACCGAGTTATCCGAAGACGGAAGGGGGTTGGCGCTCTAGGACCTAAAAACGCTCAACCAGGTGTTTCCTAGCCGAGCAACTTTAGGACATCCATCACAAAGCCGACTCGATTTAGATCCAATGGGTACATCATGTTTGCTTAAAAGATTCTTTGATTTGGGACATCCAAGTGCATCGGACGGCTTCGCCCCTATGGAAGGGCATTCTTTCTATCGGAGACCGACTAAAAGCTGAATTTGGGAATAGTGCTCGGTTGGTAGGGAGATTGGAAGCTTGGGGACAAGGAAAATTTATCTAAAATGCCTACACATGTTTGTGCCCCATGGGTGCCTTGGTCAATTGGACTCGGGTAGTTTGGGAACCATGGACGTTGCCACGGCACGCCTTTGTTCTTTGGTTAGCGATTAATGGAAAGCTCAAAATAGATGATCGCCTCTGTTTTATCTTGGATGATACCAATTGTTCGCTTTGCGGCTAGCTCTTGAGTGTCATAGTCATCCGTTCTTTGAGTGTCCTTGGAAAGCATGTATGTGGGGTCCGATTCGGCATTGGCTATGAATTAATAGAAGCATGTCTACCCTCACTAGTGCCATTTGTGATCTTTCAATAAGGAAGAACAATCTGGAAGCCCGAATGAGAAGAGTTTCGTTGGCCATCACAGGTATATCCGATTTGGGAAGAGCGTAACAAGAGGCTTTTTGATGGCTCATTCTCAACAATTGATCTGTCTCTTTAGGAAGTTTCGGGTCCTCTTCTTCATGATCTTTCACTTCTACGAAAAGGATCACATTATCCTCAATGTCGATTAGTGTCACCTTAGAGACCTCGCTCTCTTGACGATTCGAGCTTGTACATTGTTAACTTTCGATCTTCTTAGCAAGATTTTTGTATGCTCTGTTGAGCCTTTATAAATGATTCCGGTTAGCTAGCACGGGTTTATCGATGGGTTTTTCTTAGAATCTATAATGTCGATTCCTTGAACAACCTTCTAGTTCTAGCTCTTTTCCTTAGTGTTCTTTGAGAGCTCGTTCCCATCACCTTGTATATCCTGTATATGTAATTGTAGCTGGTTCTCTAACTCTATTCTCTTTTGGTTTATATACTTACATTTAAATCAAAAAAAATACCACACTCTATGAAGGATGATAAGTTTAGAGACGCCACGAGGGTTACAATCCTTGATAAGTCGATTTAGTTCTTAAAAGAACAAAAGAAGAAAAATCCTCTCAAATTTATTAACTCTTAAAATTATTGTTTCTTGAAACAGAACTAAACCAACCTTTAAATAGGCTAAACACGTCACTCCTAACCCTAAAAGGACTCTAAACATCCTTGCCACCGAAGGAGAAAGAAATAAACCCTAATGGACTCGAAAAACATATGCAAATAATAGAGCTTAAAGCATAGAGTCTAAATATGACTTAATTAATTAATTCTAATTATAATTAAGTTGGGCTTAAAACATTGAGCCCAAATCGACTTAATTAATTAGTTCTAATTATAATTAAGTCGAGCTTAAAAAATTGAGCTCAATAATGACTTAATTAATTAGTTCTAATTATACTTAAGCTAGATATACCCAATATGATTTAAAGAGTCCAATTTTGGACTTGGATCAGATTGACATGTCTTGGATCCCCCTCATCTCTTAAGATGGTGCCACAATGCTTCCTCGAGCCCTTGAAAGTGCATTCTACCCAACACTCTTGAATCGGTTTGTCGATAGCTTCTTAGCCCTATCCCGCATCATTGGACCATCTTTAATATGTAAAGGATCGGATCTTGGACTTGCAAACTAACCATCTTGGACCACGCCCTTGGAGACGCCACTTGCTGGTCCATTTGGCTCCTTAGTTTCCATCATTCCCTCCTCTCGTAAAAAGATTCATCCTTGAATCTTTATCTTGATGCTCATCATACTCCCTCGGCTTGAGAACACTCCTCCTCGAATCTTATAATAAAAAAGTATCAAAAACATATGCACATACCCAACTTGTAAAATACGAACAAATAATGGCAAAAAAATTTAGGTTTAAAAATTTAGGTTTAATTTTGTTGTCATTCGTCCCTTTCAAAAGGACAAATTCAATATATGATATATTCTCTTGAACATCCATAATCTTCTCATTGTCTTCCTCCTCTTGCACAGCTATAAGATTATCAAACTCATCCTTTTTTGGCCCTTCTTATTGTTTTGCCAAGTCTTCAATGAGCACGGACCCTTCTTGTTTAATACTCTCCAACTTCTCTTTGAACACTAGTTCCCTTGAATTAAGATTGAATTTGGATGCCTCAACCTTGGGTTTATAATCATCCTTGGTTAACTCTTTATTGGCAGTAGCATGGCCATCATCATGATTGAAAATTCGAGTGCTCTTAACACCCACAAAATCAACAACAAGCATAGTCATCGTTATGACTAAAAGTTTGAGCGCTCTTGACTTTTTTCTCTTAATCTCGTTTTTCATGCTCATTTGGTTCTCGTAAACTTGCTTAGGTGACAATAGAACAAGTGTTACTTTTCATCCCCTCGTTTTTAATGAATATCCGTTGCTAAACCTATCATGCATCACTTTTCTAACAACTTGCAAGGTTTTCCTAGCAAAATATGACCCGCACTCATCGACACAATATCACACAAAACCTCATCCTTGTATCTCCTAATTAAAAAAGACAACTATCACTTGTTTGTTTACCTCGACTTCTCCACACTCATTTATCCATTGTAATGTATATGGCTTAGGATGTTCAATTACGGGAAAAATCGACTAACTTTGGACTACCGAGCATTGGCACAACCACCCTCATCTATTATCAAACGACATACCTTATTATTGACATGGCGAGTGGGTATGAAAAATATTATCTCTCCGTGTCTCCTCCTCACTTTTCACTTGCGTGCTTAAAGCATCCATAATTACTAATGAATAACCATAAATTTCATCATCAACAATCACTTCATCCTCTCTCTTAGGATTTTTATCTTTTAACATGTTTAAAAACTTGCACAAAATTCGTTAGTAATAAACATTCCTCACACACACTCCCTCATATGTTTCACTCAAATTGATGACACTCAACGCTCATATTTTCTCTCTTTTGGGCTTTTTTTTCTTTAATATGCTCACACTTTCCATCCTTTTACTAGTCTAACTCACTCTTTTAGTTATTTTGCAAACGAATCCAAACCACACATGAACTAACCAATTGCAAGTGACTCAACAACTTCATTTTCCTAGGATTGGATTTCGGATAGATTTGAAACAAGGAATTGACAAACCAATTCAAATAATAATTGTAAGTTTTTGGACACTAAGAATGACACTAAAACTCGACTTGAATTGAATTTAAACAAGATAATAAAAAATGAGACATAACGAGATAGAAATGAAACAGATCGGACTTCCTTTTTATATAACCGGTAGAATATCACACACACTCCCTCACGTGTTTCACTCAAATTGATGGTGGCTTGGATAGTGGAGGAATGATGGTGTTAGGAGGTAGAGTATAAAGGATTTGGGTGGCGGAAGATGGAGGATTTGACCAAGAAAAGGGAGAGTGATGGCTGCAAATTTTTAGGAAAGATGATGAATAGTGGTTAGCTCCCAAAAAATGAAAAAAAAAAAAAAAGTGGATATTTATAGGTGAAAATTAGGGTTTTTTGGGCAAAGATCAATTTTTTTCTTTGATTCCTCCTAACTCGTCAATTTAAGTACAATTTTGATTGTTTAAACTTTAATGGCACCCTTAAATTACAATTGATCATGACTTTTTCTTTTAGATTTCTTCCAATTATACCCTTCTTTTCTTTTATTTAAGAGTTTAAGGCTTTGGCCTTTTTAATTGTACCCTCAATCAAGTTTCTCTTGTTTCTCAAACTTTTTATTTCTTTTAATTAAAGCCTCAAAACTAATTTGAGCCACTTATTTAAATTGATTTTTTTTTCTCGCTTTTTATATTTTGTATTTGTTTGTCTTTTTTTTTTCCTAAAATAAAAAAATAATAATAAGAGGTGAGAAATTGGGTACTAACAAAAAGTATTCCTCAAACTATTTGCAATTTGTAAGAGTTTTACTTGTGTATTGTATTGTTATGTATGTTTTTGTGTGTGTGTGTGTGTGTGTGTGTGTGTGTGTGTGTTTTTTTTTTTTTACAATTGATATTTATAGTCTTCTAGCTCCTACATAATCTTCCATATTGGACCACTTCTTCCACGTACTCTATATTACTCCATGTTATTTTATTTTTATTTTTATTTTTTACGTTGTAATGCATCATATTTCTTATTTTGTTATGTTATTCTCGTGTTATAATCTCTCACAATCCTTCCTTCTAATTGCTTAAATTGTGCTCTTATTATTGTCGAATATTGCTATTTAGAATTCTGTTATTCTTTAATTACTTTACATTAACTACTTGTTTATTACTCTTACCATTAAATTAGGATTGTTTTCCCATGTTTTTCTCCATGGATTTGCCTTATTGAGAGTCCTCTTTGCTCTTGCCTCTCATTGACTTGCTGAAAGCATTCCATTGATCTCATCTAGATTGATTTGTTAGGCTAAGCACATTTTTTGGGCTTAGTGGGCTAGGAATGATCCTTTGTAAATGGAAAAAATTTAATGAATTTTAAGTGAAGTCAATCAAGAAGAGTAGAACACATTGAAGAACTTGATGAGTTTTATCCATATTTTTTATTTAATTTATTGGATAAATTTTTATAATAAATTTGAATATAGCAAAATTCTGAATTTTTTTATTTCGATAACTAAACTACATTTATGATCAAAGTGTTTTTTGAAGTTTTAGGCTAAATTCATTAACTTAGACACGTCTTATATATGCGCTTTATGCACTTTGAGTTTACTTAAAAAGGGTGATTTTTTTTACATATGGAATAATTTTCATTGATTTATCTTTTGTTACTAATCTTTGCAAGAATGTTAATTTATTTATAATTTTTTTATGACTCGCATACAATTGTTTTCTTTCACTAAGTTATAAAATAAAACACATTAAATCATATTATTAAAATTAAATATATTTTATAAATTATTAAATAAAAGTTAAAACAAATTATATAGTTTAGAAAATATATGCTATTATTTGAGTAGTGTAACATTTGGACTTGCAATATGTATTATAAATAACAAATTAAATAAATTTTTATTATTGCGATTTTTCTTTACTTTCTTTTTCGGTATTCTTGTAATCTACCTTAATATAAATAACTTTATATGTTACAATAAAGGTAATACCTTCATTTAGAAACACAATTTCACTTTGTGCATTACAATCTATCATATCTGGACCACTTAAGTGCTCTTAGTGCTTTTAAAAACGCAGCTCATAATGTATATATTTATTTTCTCTCTGTCTATTCATAATGTGTTTGGTCATGGCGTAATAAAACCTAGGAACATTGATGTGATTGGTTCACTGAAGTTGTCACTAAATAAAGTATGGTACAAGTGGAGGAGGGTTGGTGTGGTGGAGTGTGGTATTGGTTCGTACCACTACGGAAATCCAATTTAATGGTCGCAACTTTTCAGAGACCTACTTAACTCTTCTGTCTTTTAAAATCATCATCCTATCTTTCAATAAAATACCTCCTTTTTTAATTTAGCCCACCATGCGTCTCAACTCATCTCATTTTATTTATTTTTGTGAATTCTATTTACACGATATTGGTGATTCGGGTGCACCCAACATAATATAGATTACTACTCTCTCTTCTAAAAAAATTTGCTGAGATCTTCCTCTCATACTGATTTGTGATTTTATGATTTCTATAACCATATCTCATATGTTGAGGAATTCTACTACTGATTAGTAAAAAGGTAGAAAGCCATTTGTAGCTTGGGCAAGGTTAGTGGACAGTGGGTCCAAACTAGAAAACTGTACAGGAAGAGAAAGAACTTGACGTATAAAAATGTGCCAAGCACTCTAGTTTAGTTAGGTTAAGATAACCACGTTCGATGGATCGAGGCGGCAATAATGGTGGTTGACACGGTGCGTGATGGGACACCGTGGTGGCGTAATGGCATACTTGTTAATAGTGAGCTAGACAATGATATCAAGATGAAAATCACAGAGGAAAATAAGTTGGGGAGACTAGAGAGTGCATGATTTTTTATTATTGTGAGAATGGAATTTTAAAAATTAAAGTCAAAATGGAGGACAGCATTCACTTGGGTGTAGATCTGTTCGTGGCCCAGCTTATTTTTGTTGAGCCTGGGCCTGGCCTGGTCATTCAAGCATGCTCTTCAGCCCGAGCTTGAGCCCGACCAGTGACGGACCTTGGGCTATCGAGCCTATAAAAAAAAAAAAAAAAAAAAAGAGAAAAATCAACCCCGTCAAATGATAATAAATTCCATCCAAAAGCATTTTATGCTAAAAAAACATTTCAAAACAAGAAAAACAATAACAAATACAAATTTCGTGGTTCCTGAGTTGAAGCAAAACAAGGTTATAGGTACCATTAGGGTAGCAGGGCATTTAATTGATGACAACTAGGATAATGCAACCCTTTATTAATGACACTGACAAATAAATAAAATTAACAGTAACAGTTAGTCACTCATATGACAAGAGATGTTATACTAGTAATAACTAAAAAATGAGTAGAAATTAGTTTTTTTGTTAGCAATTAAAAAGTTTGTAATCCAGTGATAGTGATCTTAATTATGCGAATAAAAAATAATAATTATTTTGTTAGCAGTTAGAGATATAGTTAGTTGGGTTTGTTAACTAAGTTGTTCTTTAATAATAGAGAGTGAAAAGAGGGGTGTCAATCAGTTGTGATGTTGGCAAGAATTTTCTCTTTCTTCTCCTCTCTAGTTCTTTCTTATCCTCTCTTCTTTCCTTCTGTATTTTTTCTTCTTTTTATTGATTTGCAATTGTAGTTTAAAAACATGAATTCAGTCCAATTTGAGTAAGAATTACTTTTTTTTTTTTTTACTTATTTTCTTTGCAATTCTCTTGTTTTCCAATTGATCGGAATTGAGGTTGCATCAAATGATTTTTAAAAGACTAAATACTACTATCAATTTGAGTTAGAAACCCATTGATATATGATAAATGAAAGTCTGATTCTTGTTGTCATTTTTTTATAGTATTGGCTAAAAAATTTCTCTCCCCTTCCTCTCTCTTCCCCACAAATTTTTTTCCCAAACAGACTCTAGGTGAAAAGAAGAAGAAAAGATGACTGTTGTTATGTCAATTAGGGTTCTTTATAAAAATAATAATAAGAAGAAGCCTAATGGAAAAATTGCCTAGTCCACGCCCGACTCCTTTACCAAACGGATCGGTGGGACAAAGGGTCAAAAATCTTAGTCCAAGCTCACTCATAAACAATCGGGTTCGGTTGACCTGTTGGGTTACCTGACCCATGGAAACCTCTTTTGTCTACTAAAAGTACTGTTTCTGATATAAAAAAATTCCTTTAATATTTGAGAAAAATACAGTATAGGTATATCAATTTTTAATATTTTTCAATCAAATATATGAATTTTAATTATTATTTTTTTCATTTCAATAGATTAATATTTTCAAAACTAAAAAATTGATATACTCAAATGAAAAATTTTCTTTTTAGTTTTGAAAATGACTCGATCAAGTACTTCCATTAATTTTTTTATTAAGTGATGACATGTCCGATACTCTCGAAGTACAAAATTATAATTTTTTTTTCTCGGTAGGATAAACAAACATTAATTTTTTTCATTTGAGTACACTAGTTTTTTTTTAAAAAAAAATTATCAATCAAGTATTTTTATTAATTTCTTCATTAACTAGTGAAGTATCTCGTTACTATTAGAATACCAAATTTTAAATTTGCTCTCTTTTTGTTGGAGGAAACATTCCTCTTAAATATTCTATCATTTCAAAATTTGACAAAAAGTTGGATAAACATTATGTTTTAGCTATAGAACTCCAAACTAATCTTAGTTAGTTTTAGGTGTGAAAAAAATATATACAAACGTGAGATTTTTTTTCAAAAAAATTCATTACTTATGAGCATTTGGGGAAAAAGTTCTCTCCAAGAAAAAGAGGGAAAAAAATATTATTTGACATTTAAGGGGTAACAAATACATCATTAATTAATAGAAAAGTTAATAAAAGTACTTGATTGACATTCTTAAAAAATTTGGTATACTAAAAAAAAATTTTAAATCCATATACTTGATTGAGAAATAAAAGGATAAAATTATAATTTAGTATTTAAAGATAAAGAACACGTCATCAATTAGTGAAGAAATCGGTGAAAATAGTTCATTGACGAGTTTAAAAAGGAAAAAAGTGTACTGAAAAAAAAATTCATATACTTGATTGGAAAAAAACTAAAAGTTTGCATATTTATAGTGAAATTACTCTTTTAAGATTTTTGAACATGTAGCTGACTGTACCAACTTAATTACATAGAAATATATGCATGTGTTGCATTTGAAGCTCACAGTAGCCATCAAGAAAAATTTCAAGGTTGTCAGCCATTTGGATTTCTAGAGAATTACAATGAATTTGTTTTGAGGTAGAGTTTCATAGCTTGTAACTCTTTTAACCCTGCTATAATATTTAGCCACCCTTTGTATAGCTCTGTCGAATGATTGAGCTTAAAGTCTGAGTATTGGTCTAGTTGTTGTATTATCTTTTTTAATTATAGTAAAATCTTGGTATTATCTTGGTTCATATAGTGGTAATTGATCGAACCACGTTAAATATCTTTGTTATTTTCTCCTTTATGTTTTCTTCACTTTTTAGGCATCACACTCCACAAACATTTTGTTTAAGATTTTAGGCAAAACCCTAACAAACGAGTATCAAAACTTTAGTAAACTAGTAGCCAAGCAAGGTTAGTAATGCTTCTGATTATTTTTATGGGTGTTTCATTATTATATGCATTTTTAAGATTGAGGTTTTTGAAATTTGGAGAGACAAACAATTAAAAGGATTTGATGGTTGAGCTTTGTGATATATATTTAGATCTTGTTGGGTTTTGAAATTATGATTGTTTCCCTCTATGTGACTATGAGCTTGTAATTCTCATAATCTTGTTATGATATTTAGCCATCCTTTGTATTGATTGAGTTTCTGTGAGATAAGGGTGTAATTATGTTTAGAATTTGAGTGTTTTTTTATTTGTTTTATATTTTCTTTTGATTATAGTAGAATTTTGGTATTGTCTTCCATGAAGTAGGTAATTGGCCAAACTAAATTAAACATCTATGTTATTTCTCCTTTATGTTTTTTATGGCATTACAATCAACGTAAATTCTATTTAAGATCATGTGCAAATCCCAATAAAAAGTTATAAACTTGTATTTTAAAACTCATAATAAAACTTGAAATGTCTCAAATTTAGAGTTCATGAATATATATATATATATATATATAGTGGTTTGTTACTAGCAATTCAAGTATAGATACTCAAACGTAGCAATATTTGTTATATGACATATATTAAGATTGAGTTGTCTTCTTTAAACAATCGAATTTAAAAACTCATAAAAAAAAAATTGAAGTATTTCAAAAAACATCGTAACTTGAGAACTTGTTATAATTCTCTCTTTCACTTTATTCAATGTTTGAGGAAGATGGTTTTTAAAGATTTCTATACATTGATCTTTTGGGGTTTGCATCTTTCAGCTTATTCTCCGTAATTGGTTTTTCATTTGATTTGATTTGATTTATTGATGGTATTTGAGAAAACGAGTAAATTAAGAATCATGTAAAAGTAAGAAGGGGTTGGTTTTAAGATGGAAGAAAACGAAATCACTTTCTCTTAAGAAAAACCAAACTAATCAATCCGAGACTTGTTTTTACGGATAATTTTAACAATTCGAAGGTGAAAATAAAAAGATGGATTGCGAATATAAATTTGGATTTGTCGAATAGCGGCACCCTTAACCACCACCACTACTTTGTCATGCTCCTAATTGTATAGCTTTTGACTTTTTATTATTAACATGGTCCATTTAGAGAGTGATTTTTAATATGATCATAAGAAACTAACCTTGTCAATTATAGTGTTTTATTTTTATTTGATAATATATCATTACACTAGTTTGTATATTAATTGAGATAAAATATTTTCTTAAATGATCTTAAGGCCACTGCCTTCTTTATCGGTTTAGTGCATTTAGAATTTTTTTCTCAAACGATCTTAAAGATGCACCTTTTATATTGGTTTAGTGTATTTAGAGTAAACTGTTGATTCCGGAGTTTGAATCTAAAAAATCAAAAAATAAAACATATTTTTTTAACCATTAGGCCAATCTCTTAGGATATATCAATTATAGTGTTGAATTTATACAAAAAAAAGAAAAAGAAAAAAAGAAACTACCTCTATTCTAATTTGTTTGTCCATTGACTTTTCTCAAAGATTAAGAAATAAAATAGATATGGTGTCACGGAGGGAGTACTATGTTATTGAAAATTGTTGATATTAAACAATAATCTCAGTTAAATATAAGCTTTCTCTAACTATTTTATTAAATCTGTTTTTTTGTTAAATAATTTTTTAGAAGGACTTGCCACCAATGATAGTTAACAGATATATTTTAATGAATAGAATTCATTGATAAGAGAAAAACTGATACATCGGTTAAAGAATACGTCAAAGTACAACAGTTGTTCAAAAGAGGGCATGAATCCAAGTAGGAGAAGAGGAAAAATATAAGCTCTAGATGTATTTATTGGACATTTTATCTCAACACATGTACAATAACAGGAAGTTCCACCATTTTATGATCTTCTCTTGCCATGTGTTCATGTTGAACGAAGCCCAAACTATATGCATGTGACATGTACCATGACAACTTTATGGAGTGATTGCCACATGTATTATTAACCTTCCAGAACTAATTTGTCCGGACCTATCATTTTCAAGATAAACCATCGTTGGATTTTCCCCAACGTTCCTTTGAGTCCTCGAGATAGCTGCAGTAGATCTTGATTTGAGGTCCAAATTATGAACATAACCCATTCCGTTACATTGATAGGATAGTGGTTGCAAACTATCGAATGTATAAACTTCGTTCCCCATGAAGTATGGTTCAATATAGCTTGGAGTTTTTTCTTACCTTGAATCTTTGTTAATTCATAAATAAAAATCAAAAAAATCAAAAAAA